GTGAAGGCCATGGCAAAACCTTCAGTTTACGCCTCTTGATGTAATCCCCCATGGATTTCGAGGTGTGTTTAGGATCATCATCCATTTGTAGAAGCCATCCTCTCTTTAACTTCAGCTTTTTCACAGATGGCATCAAGTTACCATCCAAAATTTGCTGAAATTTTATTGAATCCATTTTTCCTTCTACTCGCGAGATGTTCCCTGTGCCACTGGCTGCAACACAACCCCAAAGCATGATTGATCCAACCCCATGCTTAACAGTTGGACAGAGGTTCTTTTCATTAAATTCTGTGCCTCTTCTCCAAACGTACCTTTGCTCATTCAGGCCAAAAAGTTCAATTTTAACTTCATCGGTCCACAGAACTTGTTTCCAAAATGCATCAGGCTTGTCTATATGTTCATTTGCAAAGTTCAAACGATGATTTTTGTGGTGAGGACGTAGAAGAGGTTTTCTTCTGATGACTCTTCCATGAAGACCATATTTGTACAAGTATCTCTTTATAGTGGAATAGTGTACCACAACTCCAGTCACCACCAATCACAATGGTCACATGACACGCATGCCCGCATCCACCTCCCAGCTTTTAGAACTCTTAAAAGGGCCAGAAGGCAGTCAGTGGGAAGGGGTTAAAAAAAGAACCTTGAACGCACTTAAAATAGAGCTTTCCTTTGTGAATCTGTGTAGGGAAGTTAATTGCTCCTGATCCAGCAATTAGGTTCTCTATACAGATTTACACAGGAAAGCTCTATGTTGAGTCCATTCAAGGTTCCTATTTAATTTAAAGCCCCGATAAAGAATTATCTCGATCTCTCTCTCTCTATATATACATATACATACATACACACATACACATGCACACACACAGTGAGGAACAGAAGTATTTGAACACCCTGCGATTTTGCAAGTTCTCCCACTTAGAAATCATGGAGGGGTCTGAAATTCACATTGTAGGTGCATTCCGACTCAGAGACAGAATTTAAAAGAAAAAAAAATTCAGGAAATCACATTGCATGATTTGTAAAGAATTTATTTGTCTTGCACTGCTGAACATAAGTATTTGAACACCTGAGAAAATCAGTGTTAATATTTGGTACAGAATCCTTTGTTTGCAATTACAGAGGTCAGACGTTTCCTGTAGTTCTTGACCAGGTTTGCACACACTGCAACAGGGATTTTGCCCACTCTGCCACACAGATCTCCTCTAGATCTGTCAGGTTTCAGGACTGTCGCTGAGCAACACGGAGTTTCAGCTCCCTCCAAAGATGCTCTATTGGATTTAGGTCTGGAGACTGGCTAGGCCACTCCAAAGAACCTTGATATGCTTCTTACGGAGCCACTCCTTGGTTATCCTGGCTGTGTGCTTCGGGTCGTTGTCATGTTGGAAGACCCAGCCATGACCCATCTTCAATGCTCTGACTGAGGGAAGGAGGTTGTTGCTCAAAATCTCACAATAAATGGCCCCATTCATCCTCTCCTTAATACAATGCATCTGTCCTGTCCCCTTCGCGGAAAAGCACCCCCAAAGCATGATGTTACCACCCCTATGCTTCACAGTAGGGATGGTGTTCTTGGGATGCAACTCATATTTCTTTTGCCTCCAAACACGACGAGTGAAGGTTAGACCAAAAAGTTCTACTTTGGTCTCATCTGACCACATGACTTTCTCCCATGCCTCCTCTGGATCATCCAGATGGTCATCGGCAAACTTCAGACGGGCCTGGACATGTAATGACTTGAGCAGGGGAACCTTCCGAGCAATGCGTGATTTGAAACCATGATGGCGTAGTGTTCTACTGACAGTGACCTTTGAAACTGTGGTCCCAGCTCTCTTCAGGTCATTGAACAGCTCCTCCCTTGTAGTTCTGGGCTTATTTTTCACCTTTCTTATCATCAGTGATACCCCACAAGGTGAGATTTTGCATGGAGCCCCAGTCCGAGGGAGACTGACTGTTGTCTTTAGCCTCTTCCATTTTCTAACAATTGCTCCAACAGTTGATCTATTTTCACCAAGCTGCTTAGCAATTGCCCCGTAGCCCTTTCCAGCCTTGTGGAGGTCCACAATTTTGTCTCTGGTGTCTTTGGTCTTGCCCTTGGTAGTAGCTGGCGCCTGACTGACTGTGGGGTGGACAGGTGTCTTTAAAGAGCTCAGACAGGTGCTACTAAGTTAGATTAATGAGTGGAATAGAGGTGGACTTTTTAAAAGGCACAGTAACAGATCTTTGAGAGCCAGAATTCTTGCTGTTTCTTAGGTGTTCAAATACTTATGTTCAGCAGTGCAAGACAAATTCTTTAAAAAAAAAAAAAAAAAAAAATCATACAATGTGATTTCCTGAATTTTTTTTTTAAATTCTGTCTCAGAGTGGGAATGCACCTACAATGTGAATTTCAGTCCCCTCCATGATTTCTAAGTGGGAGAACTTGCAAAATCGCAGGGTGTTCAAATACTTCTGTTCCTCACTGTATATACATACACACATACACATATATATATATATATATATACACACACATATATATATACACACACACATACACACACACATATATATGTATATATATATGAGACTATCCTTTGGTCTGGGGTCTTTAAGTTAGTGCATTAGGAGCTTTATGCCTGTGTACAAGGGACCTTGGTTCATGAAGAACAAAAAAAAAAAAAGCACAAATCTTTTCAAAGCAGGCTTCCAGTATTTATGTACTGGATAATTAATAATTGTGTTCTTTAATTACTTTGAACTCAATGCATTCAGAAGTTAAAAAAGTACAAGTACGAGAGATAATAGCTTTCATAGCATTAATTACATACAAATATAAATTATTTTTAATTGGCTGTAATTAGACACATAAAGAACTAAAATTTAGTTAGCCAACATTGCATTCTACAGGTATCTTTCAGGAATCACTGGAAAAATAATTAAAGGAGCTTCTCTGGAATTTTACCATTTTCTTCACATGTTCAGTTATCTGAATGTGTAGAATGTATGTATGTATTGTATGTATTATTAGCAGATTGTGAGGAGCAGAGCTGAGATTCACACATGGATCTCCTACCCATCACACTGACCATGATAGTTCTGACAAAAAATCTAATACAGCTATCTGCACAGTGATTAGCACAGTGATCTTGAAGTGCTGGGGTTTGGATTACCAAGACAGTCTTCCTTTTAAAAAAAAAAAAAAAAAAAAAAAAATGCAGGTAGCATCACAGAAACAAAATACGTATTTTAAAATAGGAATGCACCAATACCTGTTTTTACCGGCGAGTACAATACATGTACTCAAGTACTCACAGATACTAATCGATACCTCTGCGTTGCGATTTAAGCCCATAGAAAATTAATGGGCTCAAATTGCACTGCAAAGAATAGCATGCGATTTGAAGAGATGTGGAGCGACTCCTGTTCCAATCGCATGCGATTTCCTTCACCACTCCCGTGTGAACCCAGGCTGAAGTCACTATGACAAGCCTGGGTTCACACAGGAGTACTGCGGGAAACCGCATGCAATTCAGACAGGAATCACACCGCATTCCTGATTATTAACCGCATGCTATTCTTTGCAGTGTGATTTGAGCCCATTCATTTTGTATTGGCAAATGTATCAGTTTTAGGTATCAGAGTATGTGCACAAGTATGAGCATGCATGCAAATGCTTGATATCGGCACCGATACCGGTATTGGTGCAACCCTATTTTAGATTATTTGCAGCCGTGGCTGCTGATATAGCGTCCAAGCCTAAGCCCTTTAGGATATCTACACAATGGAGGCTTTTACAAGTAAATAAAATGTAAAATATATTCATTTTATATACTGTATATTCTTATGAGGGGTCTGTTCAAAATCTGGTGACTGTTTCTTTAAGGTCCAATCTAGGACAATGTGTGCATCTCTTCTCCAGGGTGCAGCACCCTGCCACACTCCAAAAATGTAATGGTTGGTTAACTGGATTAAACTCATATTGGCATGGTGACGTGTGTCTGAATGACTGCAGTCCAGACAGAAGACTGCAAGTTTGTTTTAAAGAAAAAACAATTCCAAATTTTATTTCCCCCATTTTGGATAGCATAAGGGAGGGTTATAGGCCCTGTCAGTTTTCTGCCATCTATGTCCCATTGGGGGAGATTTCTAATCACTTCTTGACCCATAGCTAAAACAGGAAGTGAAGGGATGCCTCCCAAAAGTGAGGGAATCTCTGTATGTCACCACACTACTCCCTCACCATTCTCCGCCCTGAGAAGACCGAGAACTCAGCAATCAGAGGTCATTTGATCACTCGGTTCTCGGTCTTAGAGCCAGTAGAGGCATAGAAGTGAGTATGTACATTTGTTTTTGTATTTTTCAGTAACCTCAAACTTCTCCTTTAACCACTTTAAGTCTGGACACTTTCACCCCCTTCCTGTCCAGGCCAACTTTCAATTTTTAGTGCTATCACACTTTGAATGACAATTGCGCAGTCATGCAACACTGTACCCATATTAATTTTTTAGCATTTTCTGAGACAGATAGAACTTTAATTTTGGTGGTATTTATTCACCACTAGGATTTTTTTTTTTTTTTTGCTATATAAATGAATAAGTCCAAACATTTTGGAAAAAAAAAAAAAAAAGTGTTTTTTCATTTTGCTAATAATCTTTATTCATAAATTTTGGACAAAATGTATTCATCTTTTTAGTGAAAACAATAACCCAAATTAGTTTAGAACCAAAAAATTATATTTTTCAAAAATTTTGTTTACATTTTTATTTTATTTTTTATATTTATGCTTGTTTTGTTTTTTAACATACCGTCACCCTAGCAGTACAGTGTCACCATAGTGACACTGTACTACTTGTGGGGGGGTGATGAAAACTTTTCTTTTTTTACACGGATTGCTTTTATACTCATAAGGCTGTAAAAGCAATTTCTCCTTCTCTCTGGCTGCATTCTTGCAGCCATTGAGAAATACTGTGAGAGCTGTGATTGGTCACAGCTTGCCACATGGTACAAGGCTGTTGTGAATAGCCTTGTACCATGTGACCTCTGTGATCATTCACAGATTTCACAAGTAGTAAGCAATGATGTCAGGAAGTGACATCTTGCTTACTACCATTCATGTGATTACTAATTGGCCAATCAGTGATCACATGATCGGGACCTCACAGTGGTCCCTACAGCGGTGCCTGGACATAGCGGGCACCAGATGGCGGTGCCACACGCTCCCAGGGAGCGCGCACAGGCAGTGAATGCAGAGGCCGTTTATAAACGGCCACCCGCTCATGCACTGCTCCCATCTGGCCGTTTATATACATGGGCCAGACGGGAAGTGGTTAAAGTGGACGTAAAGGTAATACTTAACCAACTTCAAACCTACTCTCAGCCATATTCTAAGCCTAATCTACCTAGCCCTGTAAAGATAAAATAAAAAACACTATACTTACCTGTTCTGCAGTTGTTCTGGTCCAGTTCCACCCTGAGCTGTCAGTGGCGGCTTCAGTCTGCAGGAGTGGCAGCTGATAACGGAAGCCTCATAGTAACTACAGATGACTTCACTTCCCAGCCATTGTTGGCTGTCTCCTGGACTGGACCAGAGCAACTGTAGAACAGGCAAGTACAGCGATTTTTTTCTTCACAGTTCTAGACAGATTAGGCTTAAAATGTGGTGGAGAGTAGGCTTAGTTAGGTTTTACATTTACCTCCACTTTAGGGCTTACTTTTCAGTGTAGAGTATTCAGGTTTTTGCACGTTTTTAGGAGTGATATCCTGCACAGGAACATCTTTGGGGCATGATTGTGCTTTTTTTGGCCCCATAGACTTATTACAGGAGCTCCTAAACAAAAAAAAAAAAAAACACTTTTTGGGCATTACCAATTAATCCCAGTGGGCCAGGAATAGCCAGATCTGCCTGTACATCTTCTTGCAACAGGCGCCTGAGTACTCAGGTGTGAACAGGCACCAAATAAAGCAATAGGCTTTCTAATGTTAAGTATTGTGTAGCTGCAGGTGCTCAGGTATGAATCGGGCTTAAAATCCTGTTCCTCCCATACTACAGAATGGTTTCTCAGTCACTTGGTTATCACAGACTATAAAGTCGGAGCTCTCCCATCCTCTGAATAAACATGCATGTTGGTGTTAGCGGAGCAGGTAATTACTGCGCAGGCACCTCCATGACTGGCTTTATCAGATGCAGAGAATAGCCAACCAATTTGAAAATGTTTTTGTTGATATTAATCCTTGAAAAACAGTGTTTTAAAAATGTTTTGTTTACACATAAAGCTATACAAGTGGCAAGAAAGTATATTAAAAAAAAATGTCTGCACTACATGAAATGTAGCCTAGGTTCCTATAATTAAAACACTCTTGTCCAGTTAATGTGATATTGCTTGAACAAATCATTCAACTGACATCAATACTGAACTCTGTATCTCACTCTCTCGGGGTCCTTTCAGTCTTTGGTTTGCATTTTCTGCAACAAGTCATCATCTGTGTTCTACGCAAAGATAGACAACCTCTGTAACCTGCTTGGCAGTGTGCATTGTAATTATGAAGAGGCAGGAAACTATTCTGGGCTGTACAGCGCACTACAGTCACCCTCCTAAATGTCACACGTGTCCAGCTGCACAATGACTAAACAACTCCCACTGGTGCCTAATGATGAAATGCAGCAGTCTCTTTAAAAAAAAGTGAAAACAAGTGGAATAAACGAAAAAACAATAAGCATTGTCCTGCTATGATGAGCTTCATTTCATAAGAGAATGGTGTAAATGATATCTTCACCAAAATGAAGGGGTTCTTTTATTTTCCAGGGAAGCTCAAATAGTGTAATCTAACCTGCCAGCCTTTCCTAGAAGCAACCTGAACTGCACAGACCCAATGAAGAAAGCGGATTTGCGATGTAATATAGTGGGGCTGGTTTACTAAAACTGGAGAGTGCAAAATCTGGTGCAGCTCTGCATAGAAACCAATCAGCTTCCAGGTTTTATTGTCAAAGCTTGGTTGAACAAGCTGAAGTTAGAGGCCGATTGGCTACCATGCACAGCTGCACCAGATTCTGCACTCTCCAGTTTTAGTAAATCATCCCTGTGTGTCTCTCCCATGCTGCTAGTTATAAAACAGTACTGTACATCCAATGGCCCTTATTGTGCTGTACAGGGTCCTCCATGCTGGTAAGTAAAGGCAACACCTATACCCCATCTTACATACTAATGGACATTCAGAACATACTATACTACTTCAAATAGACCTGAGCTAATCACAGTGTTTCTGTATTTTATTGCATGTTAGATCATAACGAAGGTATTTAGTATCTGGAGAGGACAGGACAATGTGTGGACATGGATGACGTGGCCACACAACTGCAACACATCCAAACACATTCAGCCATGGCACACTCTGCATACTGCATTTTTAATCTGCTATGGTGCCTCACTTACATTTTGATAAAAATTAAAATCCCTACTATCACCCCTTGATAGAAAAGAAGGTCAACTTTTTTTTTTTTTTTTCTTCAACTTCTTTGCAGCATTTTTAAGGCTCCACACACACTGGGTTTAAAAAAAAAAGAAATGGCAGTTCCCTTGGCAGAAAAACAAACAAACGCTCATATAGAGAGTGTTTTTGTACACGTTTAGGTGTGTTTAGGAATTTTTAGCGTTTGTTTCTGCTAGGAAACTCCAATCAAAAATGCAAACCAGAAGGGTTTTTGTTCTCCGGTTTCTAAACACCGACCTTAAAATATGCATCCAAGCATCCTAATGTGCATGGACACATCGGAAAACACTGAGCTGCTTCTACAGGCAAAACACAAAGCTCCTGTAGAAGCCGTGTTTTTTTAAGCTAGAGTGCATGGACCCTAAAGCAGCAAAAAATTGCCAGCGTAATGTGTACTATGGATGCTTGTTTTTAAAGTGAACTTTCTCAGGTGGCCCCCAGGTTCACAAAGCAGTCATCTTCCCACAAAACAAGTATGTGGAGGTAGGTTTGCTACAAAAGAAATAGGGATTTATTATCTCCCCAGGCTATAATCTAGTGGTTGCTTTTACATTTATTTATAAGCTATACCCACATAAGTGAGATAAAATGCTTCTATAATCAAACATCCTGTTGGCAAAAACTAAAGCGTGCAGGAGGGAAGGTTTTCCTGAGCTCGAAGGGACTGGTATCTGCCAATATTAACTTTCAGCAAGACAGATAAAACATTAACCTGCAAAGTCAAATAGCTCAGGTTAGGTATGTCTATATACTGCTGGGTTGTGGCTACACCAATAGGTTTTCTTGATGACCTGGTTAGAAGGAAGAAAGGAGAAAGATGTTCAGAGGAGAAACATTAACCCTATGTCACTGAACGTCCATGCTCCAGAACTAGGACTTATTCTGTTACTAGAGGCAACCAGTGCTTTTGATTGTTGCCCAGACTGTCGCTACATGTCATGTGACCAGACGTATTTACAAATCCAAGTGAGGAGATGAAGTCCAGGGTCTACCCAGACTCTGCACCCGAGCACTTGTACCAGCCTGTCATAGTTTCCTGCCTGCTACAAGTCCAGGCAGTATTCTAGCACAGTCTGCTACTACTACTTTCCAGTCTCCTACAGTCACTTCTGCTCATTCTGCTACCACCAAGCCAGTCTACTTCAGTCCAGTCTTTATTGTTAAGTCTGCTTCTCTGTCAGTCCAGCTTCCACTGCTGTGCCACGGTTGTCTCATCAGTGCTATCAGTTTCTGGTTCACAAAGCAATTTTTTCAACTCTCTGGACACCAATCCACCTATGGATCTAAGTACCTGGTGGTAGCTTGAATCCCAGTGAACACTCCTATGAGGGGTCTTTGGCAGAACACCAACTATCCTTTAGAACAGTGGTTCTCAAATACTGGGCAGCAAGTTACTTTTTGTTGGGGCCTCCAGCCAGCTGTCTATTGCTTAAAGTGTTACCCAGGACCCTTCACTCACTATATCTGGCCTCTCACAGTACACAGAACATGGAAATGTAATTATTTTAGTAAATATTAACTGCTAAATACCTTTTCTCATCAGCAGTTAGAGTAGTCTTAAGACTTCTATTAGTATCCAGCCGATCACTGGTTAAAGCTTGTAGGAGGAGTTTTCATTTTGCTTTAGAAGGATGCAGGACCCCTGACCTCTGTCTGGACAGAGCTAATTGGCCCCGTTTTCCTCACATGCACTTTCCAAGGGGAAAAAGAAAAAAAAAAAACCTCTCTAGCAATACACACCAAACTGAGCATGTGTAGAGTGACTCCACATGATAGGTCTTATCAGGAGATAAGGAGGGGATACTGGAAGAAGGGGAGGATCAGAGAAGTCAGGATCAAACAGGGTTTTTACACAATGCAGGGGATTAACCCCTTAGATTCCACAGTGAGCATAACAAGCATGTTTTACTGCATATACAGACTGATTTTACGGTTGTGGGTTTAGTAACACGTTAAACTCCCACAGTGCCGCCCAACCTCCCACAGAGTAGGCAATGGTAAAAACCCATGGCTAACTTTTTGCCACCTGTATCCCACTGGGTAGGCTTCCCTTAAAGGATAAGGGTTTGCAGGTAAAAAAAAATGTGCAGGTAGAAAAAAATAAATAATGTGCATTTACTATTTTCTCTTCTTTTTTTAAACTCCTTGGCACCGATGGTTCACAAATGTGACATCTTGGTGGCTGGGCCTTGATGCCGAGAGGCAGCATATTTGCTTAACCAATGTTAACAAACATGTGCTGAGAGCATGCGCACTCCAAACATTTAGCGGCACCTCACGGAAAGGTCCTTCTTACGAACGGGAGCTTTCCGATCATGTGACTGCTGTTACAGCCAGTCAACATGGCCCTAAATCCTGCCCTGCAGGATCATGCTCCTGTCATGGCGAGACTACGGTTAGGTGAATATCAGAATAGGGCTATGCAGAGATTAAATGAGACACTTATACAAGATCCTGAAAAAGAGAGAAGGTTATGAGAAGAAAATCAAGCAATTCTTTGCCCTGAATGAAACGGAGGAAATATCAGTGGCCGTTATTTGGGAGGCTCATAAAGCTTAATTGAGGGGAGTCTTGATAGCTCTAGGGGCGAAAAAAAAAAAAAAAAAAGAACGAGAGAGGAAAAAGGGAGTAACGGAAGAGTTATATAAATTAGAACAGGTACATAAAAAAAAAAGCAAGACATAGATGTACATCAGAAGATCATCCTTAAAAGAGAAGAACTGAAAGATTTATTGCAACAGGAGACCAGGAAGGTTTTTAATAGCGTTTCAAAGGAAAGATATCGGAGGGGCAATAGACCAGGAAAATATTTGATGAAAAGTTTTAAGGATAAGAAATCCAAAAATTAT